TCAAAATAAAACAAATTATGACAGATAGGGGATGCGAATTCATGTCTAAAGAATTCTCCCAATGGTTAAAAGACAAAGGAATGTTACATTACACATCTAGTCCATTTTCTGCGTTCCAGAACGGGATTGCAGAGAGGAAAAATTCCACATTACAAACCATGATTAGATGCACATTGGAAGATGCTGGCTTAAGCAAACAATTCTGGTCAGAAGCCTTACATTATTCAAATTACACACAAAATAGAACATGGTCCAGCATTGTAAATAAGACACCATATGAAGTGATGTATAATAGAAAACCAAAATTAGCACACATGCATATATTTGGAGTCACTGCAGACGTACACATACCTAAACAATTAAGAAGAAAGGGAGAAAACGTATCCAGAAGACTCAGATTTATGGGATATGAAACCGGTACTAAAGGGTACAGATTCATTGATAACAATAACAAATTTATAGTCTCCAGAACAGCTGTGTTCCATGAACAGGCTAACTGGTCTAAATTACATCTTAATGAAATATTTCCAAATAAATATAAAGGTACAAAATCTCATGAAGAAGGGATCATAGAAAAGCAAAATATCAACAAAAATAAGAACAAAACCAAAATTTGGACAAATAGCCAACACAAAATTAAGACAGACACATTAACAAAAAAGGAAGCAAGATATTTGCATGATAACGATAGTAAACCTGAAAAAACCATTAGAAACACCAGAAATCAAATGCCAAATAAATACAAAGATTACATAATGCATATGGATGGTGAGCCAACAACACCCAATACATATGAGGAAGTGTTAAAACTCCCTCGTGAAGAAAAGGAAAAATGGGAATTAGCGATGAAAAAAGAGATGGAAAGTTTACAAGGATTAAATGTATTTACACCTGCAATTGCACCTAAGGATAAAACAATTATTGGTACCAGGTGGATATATAAAATTAAGAACTTAGAGGGAGGCAATACTCTATACAAAGCTAGACTAGTTGCACAAGGTTATGCACAGAAATATCCGGAGGACTATACTGACACGTATTCCCCCACAGTAAGAACAGAGAGTGTCAAAACAGCTCTAGTGGTAGCATCAGCACTCAACCTTGATGTATTTCAATACGACATACAGACTGCGTATCTACACGCTAAACTAGATAAAGAAATATACGTAAGAGCACCTCACAGTCAATACACAAACAAAAATGAAATTTGGTTGTTAAACAAGAGTTTATACGGGTTAAAACAATCTGGTAAACGATGGTATGATTGTTTAGTGAAAGTACTTAGAACCATGGACTTCAACGCTACTACTGCTGATAACTGCTTTTTTGTCAAAAAGGATGATGATTACATTGAATTTGTATTGATTTATGTGGATGACATTTTATACATAGGAAAACATAAAGAGAGAAGAGAAACCTTTGTAACCAAACTAAATGAACATTTCTCGTTAAAATCTCTAGGTAAAGTAAACAAATATCTTGGTGTCCAAATTAATAAGACTAGAAGGGGATTCAAACTTACTCAGAGAGATAAGATTGTAGAACTTTTAAATAAATGCAATTTAAACAATGCCAAACCTTGTGATACTCCTATGCAAACTGATTTTCTAAGAAATACTGATGAATCTTCCCCCGAATTCAAGGATAACACGTTTTATAGATCAATCATAGGTTCACTTCTTTATATATCTAATTGGACTAGACCAGATATCGCCTTACCACTCAATCTATTATCCAGACATGTCAGCAAACCAACAATGTATCACTGGGAAGCTGTTAAAAGAATTTTAAGATATCTGAAAAGTACACTAGACTTTTGCTTAATATTAGAACCTAAAGACAATAAAGAACCAAAGCTTACATGTTATGCAGATGCAGATTGGGCTGGAGACACCTCATGTAGAAAAAGTACATCTGGTTATATATTTCTCTTAAATGACTGTCCAGTTTACTGGTACACTGGTAAACAAGAACTAGTGGCCACTTCAACGACAGAAGCGGAATATGTTTGTTTATCCAAAGCTGCAAATAACCTTGTATGGTTTAATGATTTAATTTCAGATGTTTGGAAAAAACCTGTTTTGCCTTTTGTTATGCATGAAGATAATAAAGCAGCCATTGAAATATCTAGATCTGATGCCATTGGACAAAGGTCCAGACATATAGATATAAAATTTAAACATGTGAGACAATTATCTCAGGATGGATTTATTAAAGCAGTGCATTGTGATACCTCAGAACAATTAGCTGACATATTGACAAAGCCTTTACCTTCTAAGCAACACAAATATTTAACTTCTAAGTTGTATGTATTGTATTGTCCTGAATCTGAGTGTAATTGGTGTTGTATAACGAATCGGCATTTAGAGGGGGATTTGTCAGATGTAAATGCCTTATTCTCTAATGTGTAAATAATATATGAACGGAGTATCAGGGGTTAACTTATTCTTCACTTCTTAATGTATTCATAATTCACCACTCCCACTTATAGCTCCACCCATTGTATATATAAGGAGCCACCTACACCATTTTCCTTGCTTCTATCTGTGAATATTCAGTGAATATAGAATGCCTATTGTAAATAAAAGGAAATATATTTAAACCTTAACTCTTACTAATATTATTGAGTCTGATCCTGAAAATATTGCAACAAAGCCACCCCCACAGAACCGGTAGTAAACATTTTTAGAACCCACCCCTGGTTCTGCCATTTTATCTGCCGTTGGGGCATAAAGCCCTCTTCCGCCTTCAAAACAGTTGACCATCTTCTCCTGTAACCCTGGATAGGGGCCCTTACAAGATACTACCAGCCGGGCCAAGGTTTTTTTTTAGAGAGGTATTACTCCTCAAGCACTGTTCCTCACTACAGGATTCCTGCTCCAGGTTTTGCCTCGAGGTTGACTCCTGAAGACTTTCCCATAGATGGGTATAGCCACAAGGCAGTGGAGGTTTGAGATCAGAGTTTTCCTTCTTCTACATAAATTGCCTTTCAAGGCTAACGGACACCATCTAACCGGTTTTTCCCATGCACACAACTAACAAGACTTCCCAGTTACACTAAATCAAACAGCCACTCTCCCCTCCCCCTAAAAACAAGCAGATTTTCCCATGAGGAGAGCTGGAGAACTTTCCTCCCTGCAGTCACATGATCCACAGGAATTGAACTGTGATAGTAATAAAAAAAATTAATATGTAGGATACAAATTAATAAAGATTTAATCAGTAAATAGATTAATACAAGTCAGTAAAGAAAATATAGTTCTTAAATTAACAGTTTTCATACATTTTGCATGAGGATATTTAAAATATTTTAGATAATTACTTTATTCATTTATTAGGTTTCTGATTATTGACAAGATTAACCAAAGAAGATATTGATACTCTGTTGCTTGTCAGATTTTGCACATTTTATCTAAAAATAAAAGATGAATTTGCTAATACAAAAAGCTTTAATATAAAAGGATCTTCCAGTAAGCAACATTTTCTTCAATTGGATAAATTTAATTCTATGTAGAAAAAATGTTAAAAATAAATCCAACAAACCCAGAAGATCAATTAAATTTAATTGGATCCAAATGACTTGTGTCTTAGTACAAGCGTTTGTCTTATACCAGACATGTCTTCAGAAGAAAGCATTATTGTAGATATAATTTGGAACACTAAGTAGAAGAAACCCTCTTATCAAATGCAGTACAAATCACATAAACTGCATAAGCCAAAATATTAATTTACAACAAATTTAATAATAATAATCCAGACTGCAATATTCCAGGTGACTATTATATTTTTGCCCTGATGCCTTTCAAATAACTTATCAACTTCTCCCCTTTCCTGACTGTTCGATCAGTACCGTAGACCAGTGTCTGGTTATCCCGCACCTTGACAGCAGCGCTTTTCAAGCTTGGCAACTTCAAGTCCTAGAATTCCCGAGAATTGAAATTCACACATCTTAAAGTTGCCAGGTTGAAAGATCTCGTTATATATTCGATACTGCGACTACGATTCCCCCAGAGGCTACGTTTCTTTTTCTTCCATACTGAATGTTTTGGAAAAAGAGAGACACTAAAAATAGGATTAGGAACGCCGTCATCCACACCAGTCTCACTGAACTATTTTGAACTGTAGTCACTCCCGCCTATAATTTCATTCTCGCGATAGTTTTTTAGTGCGATTGTGCCGTATTGAAAATGAGAAATACAAGAGTCTACAGCGGCATTGACTTTCGAGTTTCTTCTTAGTAGATTTGTTTTAAGAAAATCGGTTACATCGCTGCTCACGAACTCTTGAGTACACGAAGAAACAAATATTAAAGCAAAGCAGTTTAAACTACATCAAAATTAAAAAGGAAAGCTTGCTTTGCTTTCTTCCCCTGCAGAGTTCGTACTTTGGGAGATGGAGTGACTTCCTACAGCTGTGTAAAAAAGATTTGTGCTGATTGGATTGCTGTTTGCCATGAAGTTTTTAAATGCATAGGAACCTAGAAAAGATACATTTCTGCTTCGCAGTGAGGGAGAATCTTATACTTTTAAAAGTATGAGTAATACTTTTAAGAAATATTTTTTTGTCACTCAGAATGCTGGATATTGAAAACAAATGTCTAGTAGTTCTAAAGAATTCTCTTGTATTCGTTTAACCTGCAAAACATGTTTCTTTTTGATGCTGCAGACTAACTCGCCCATCTATCCAAATTGCGTTTACAATTATTTAAAGCACACACATACACAAGGGACTTTTGCTAGAAAGAAAAGAGAATTTCGGCAGAAGACTGGCTTCTTTTCTCGACCAACATTCGCTCGAAGCAGGGACAAAGCCTGAACACAACCCTTCGTTTAGCACCGCTGAGTTCCACTACTCTTTCCCCACACACCGGCAACCGCTCGCCACGGTATGAGAAATGACGGCTGTTGGGAGTTCTTGGAGATTTTATTTTAAGTCCCTGAAAAGGAAGCGGAGACACTCGGCTAGGCTCCTCCTCCTGGGCCTCAGCCAGGCGGCTGAGGCTGAATTCCTCTGCCTCGCGCGGCTCGGACCGGGCGGGGCCAGGCTGGATCCAGAAAGGCTTCCCGACCGTGGCCAGCACTCTGCCCCACCCCTTCCCTCCGCCCCCACCGTTACCACCCGGAGACGCCCCCTCGCCGCACGCAGACGGGAAAGGGGGGGCCGTCCCGCCCCCACGAAGTCAGGGGGGCCTGGTCGCCTCAGCTGCCCCCGCGCAAGGGGGCCGACTGGGTAGGAATCGTGAGATATTTGTGCTGGAAGCAGCCCCCCCGCGAGCGGTGAGAGAGAGAAAGCTCCTGGGAGAATTCGGCGTGGGTCTGTCAGCCTGTGCGGCGCGCGAACGTAGCAAGTGGGTTGTTAGTAAAGCCTGACAGGCGAAGGAAGAAGGGGAGTGGGGGTAGTGGCTTGCTGTTTTAACGCCTGTTAAGTGGGAAGTGTCCAGAAGAGGTCAAAGCAATGGACTTGAGGTGGGTGGTTGTGGTAAGAGTGAGGGCGGGCTTTATTATGAAGGGGGAAGTTGCACACCCCTATGCACAAAAGCGTACACGCAAGAAAAGGCAGCTGTAGCATTAAAGTAACTACTCTGCATTAGAATCTTGCAAGGAGAGGATATTAAAGGTAGCAGGAGGCTTGGAAGCAAATAGAATAAACGAAATGAAATTATCAATTTCATATACTAGTTTTACAATGATTCCAATGCTGGTATTTCTAGAGAGGCACTGGGTGTATAAGAAGGATCAGCTTTAACCAAGCCAGATGATTGGTAGAGAATTTACTCCTTGAGGCCTATAATAAAGAGTCATGATTTAACCTGCTTGCCACCACCCTCACTTTAGATGATCTTGGATTGGATCTTTTGGAATCTAGTTCTCAACCCATTACAGTATTTCAGTTGGATAGAAAGGCAAAACTTCTTTCCATACCTGTACACATTTCTAAACTTTTGGTCTGTTTTGGAGTTTGTAATTGGGTTGCTTAGAATAGGGCGCACCTATTCATGCATTTGTATAATAGAGATGTGATAATACCACTACTAAAGCCTTGAAACTATTGTATAACTGTTGTAAGTATTTGCAAGTTTAATTGTTGCTGTTTCCTTTGGAATGTGCTCTCAGCATAGTCACTGCAGTATGATGCTGCTGCTACTTTGATTTGGCAGCTTTGGAAATAGAGATCTCAAGTGAAAGCAAGGTTTGCTGTATATATTTTTGCTGAATTCTAAATAATTGTGATTATTTTATTTCTTTATTGTTTGCTAGAGCATGCCAATTCAGAGTAGATTAGACTGAAAACTAAACAAAAATGCTTTTTCTAATGCCTTTATATCTGTGGTATTCTGGATCCTATTCCTAATTGTGTATTCTGTTATCTCATAATTAAAACAGCAGGGTAACCTTATTGCATGAGGAACTGAGTGTATAGAGAACCTGTTCCATCATAGAGGGGAGTCAGTATAGTTTTGGGGGTCTTTTTTCATCTTAAGCTTTGCAATATATAGATATATAAACTTTATCTACCCCTACATATTTATGCTCTTTATATATGGTGAAAGTAAAAATTAAACATGTAATGCTAATTTCTTATTGTAGTAATGCACTGCTTTTTACATAAAATGTTTAAATAGGAAAACAAGAAGTTCAGTGTTTTCTTAATTGACTATTTCTTGTCTTGAAAAATATTTTTTATTTTCTTCTTTCCTTATTTTATAAAACATTTTATAAAAGTATTTTATAAAACAAGACTGGCAGACAAATAAAAATCCTGTGTTTGGTATTTGCTTATTATCGTAAGATTAAAATGTGCGTATTTGACATTTGAGAATTAGTTGGTGTATCAGATAGGTATCTGGCTATAAAACCAGGAAAATGGCATTGGACCTGGGTATTTGCGGGATCGCCTTCTGCCGCCGATAGCCTCCCACCGGCCAATACGCTCCCACAGAGAGGGACTCCTCAGGGTGCCGTCAGCCAGGCAGTGTCGGCTGGCAACTCCCAGGGGGAGGGCCTTCTCTGGGACAGCACCTGCCCTCTGGAACGACCTGCCCCCAGAGATACGTATGATACCAGATCTCCAGGCTTTTCGCCGTGCCCTAAAAACTTTTCTTTTTCACCAAGCAGGGCTGGTGTAAACCCCCCCCCCTTTTTGAGATGTTAGATTTTTAATTGTCTATGGATTTTAGTCGGGATTTTAAATTTAGGCCAAAGTTGTGTAATTCTTTTAACAAATTTTAAATTTTGTATTGGGATGTTTTATTTTGGCTGTGCGCCGCCCTGAGTCCAGTAGGAGAAGGCGGTATACAAATTTAATAAAATAAATAAATAATAAAATAAAATATGAGTTGCTTTAGGCATGAAGCTTGGGGACTTGGGGACAGTCACCCTTTTTCAGCTCCAATAAAACAACCGTGAACCACTTCCAAAATATTGCCAATAAAACTGCATGGATTTAGCTGGAATGATAACTGTATTTTATAGTGGGAATGTATTAAGTGACAGGGTAATGTTATTCCTTCAGCAGATGTAATGATATGGAACAACAGGCAGTTTTTAAAAATAACTTTCAGTAAATACCATATGGATATTATGTAAATTCAATAGATTTATCAATGACTATTAATATCAAGTCATTATGTTCAGAAATAGTACACCTCAAATATTCAGATGCTGGGACAAAAGGAGTGACTGCTATCAATTCAAAGTGTTTCTGTAATAACTCGGAGCTCTTCGTTGATTGTGATTATAGAGCTAGGTTTTATAATTAGATTCAACATTGGCATTAGTACTACAGGTAGTCCTTGACTTACGATCACAATTGAGCTCAGAATTTCTGTTACTAAGTGAGACATTTGTCCCATTTTATGACCTTTCTTACCACATTTGGTAAGCAAATCACTGCAGCTATTAGTATCAAGGTTGTTGAATCTGGCTTCCCCATTGACTTTGCTTGTCAGAAAGATGCAAAAGGTGATCACATGACTGACCCTGGGACACCCGCAGCCATCATAAGTATGAGTCAGTTGCCAAGCACCTGAATTTTGAACCCGTGACATGGGGATACTGCAACAGTTGTAAGTGTAAAAAGTGTTCATAAGTCACTTTTTTCAATGCTTAGAACTTTGAACAGTCACTAAATGAACTGTTGTAAGTCAAGGACTACCTGTAGTTAATGCTTAGCTGCTGCTGTAGATCAGGGGTGTCAAACTCGTGACAACATGTCACATGACGTATTGCAACTGTTTTCTCCTATGTTAAAATGGGGGTGGGATGGCCAGCATGTGACGCATCCAGCCCGTGGACCGCGAGCTTGACATCCCTGCTGTAGATTAAACAAATTTATTCTTTTATGTCTTTTACACAAAGATACACACATACAACCACACCAACACACTTGCAAAGCAAGTTAGGTATAGGGAATAACTTTTTTTTAGCTTTATAAACATACTCTAATGGTTCATTCTGTAGTGCCAAATTAATGGTGGTGATTGTACTGGAAATACCTCATACATGGCAGTATCTGTATTTTTATGGATTTATGAGGCAGTACCCAATGTAAAAAATGAAGTGGAAGTTTAGTATCCTCCAGAAATATATAGAGTGATAGTGCTAATTAAGAATAATGTTGATTTTTTTTTGAGGAAAAAAGCGTGGAAACTTTTATGTAAATTAAGGCACTATATAAAAATTTTACATATAAATATTTCCAGTTTTCAGATTGATAACATTCTTTTCTTTTACATACTTACCAAAGATAATTACTTAACAATGTTAAACTACTCATTTGCAATTTGCAGCTATTTATTATTGATAATTAATTTACAGAACAGAAAATTATTTGTAGAAAGAATTAAGCACCATAAAATGTTCTGCCTGATAGTTCATTAAAATATAGCCTTCCTTAAACTAAATAATCCTTTAATTCATTTTTTGTATGTATCTTTTGTTGATTTTTCTCTTTTTTTAGCAAAGAATTACAAGCAGGGAAATTTAATAGTACCTATTAATTGGTCAATGACAAGCCTTCTGCTTTGTAATGTAACTCATAGGAAAGCAATACATTCTTCTCTTTTTAAGGGCTTATAGTGAAGACCAATTAACATTTTGTTTTGCATTCTGAGAATGTTGGTTTTAGAGAGCTATATGTGTATACCTATACCATATATTTCAGTGTATAAGACACACTTCCCTCCCCCCCAAAAAAGTGGGTGGAAATGTCTGTGCGTCTTATACAGGGAATGTTGCTGAAGCCCCCCCCCCCCTTTCGGTCTCTGCCTGCCAGCAATTTGCCTCCTTACAGCAAACCGCAAATAGCCTGGTCAGCTTCAGCACAGCCTGATTTAGCATGAGCAGTTGATTGGCAGTTGGATCTGCCTCCTGGAATACCGCCTATCAGCTGTTCCAGGCTGCGGGGATCGCTGCCACCGCCGCCGCCTATCTCCGCCTCTGTTTGCCCAATTTTCGGCCTCTGCGCATCCTGTTTTCAGATTCCATGCACCCCATTTTCAGCCCGTTCTAGGCGGGAATCGCTGCCTCCTATCCCCGCTAACTGGAATGGGTCAAAAACAGGATGCGCGGAGGCAGAAAATGGGACACACGGAGGCCAAAAATGGGGCGTGCAGAGGTGGCGATAGGCAGCAGCAGCGATGGGCTGCGACAGTGACGATGGGTGGCCGCAATCCTCACTGGATTGCTGATAGGCGGTATTCCGGGAGGCAGATCCAACCACCAATCAGCTGCTCGTGTTAAATTAGGCTGTGCTGAAGCTGACCAGGCTGTTTGCTGCAAGGAGGCAAATTGCTGGGAGGCAGAGGCAGATTTTTTTTTCTTGTTTTCCTCCTCAAAAGCTAGGTGTGTCTTATAGTCCGGAGGGTCTTATAGTCCGAAAAATACGGTACATACAGGAATAACTTCTTTCTGAATCCATGTGTCAACTTGCAAAGCTTTCAAGTTGCCATGAGCAGGAGGGAGGGAGAACTGAAGTGAATTCCATACATTTTTCTGACCGTAATCAGAAGGAGGGTGTTAGGTTTCACAGCCAGCCAAAGTGGTTAATTGGAGAATGTGATTTATGATATGGCCAGGGCGGAGGGGAGAGACAGGGTCATAGGGGAACGTAAATCTATGTGAGATCAGTCCTGACTGCATCCAAGTATTGCCGGAATGGTGCTCCTAATAAATGAATATATTTCCTTTGAAGTTTGGATCATGGCTCATGAATTAATTAGGGCATCTTTCGGAAACTTGACACCATGCTTTACTTTTCCTTGGTTCATAATCCATTATAGATGAGCAAGGAAACAAGTTTTTCAGAAGTTGTGTGGTCATATTTGACATCTTTAAACATGCCAAGGGATATGATTAATGAAAATTGTATATCATAAGAATGTGGATAGTTCAAATAATTGGAAGCATTTTCATTCTACATATCTTATTTTTATTTACTGAAATTTATGATCTGCCTGTATATGCTGTTTTTTGCACAGAGCATCCTCTTCCTGTCATTTAATAATTTACTGAAATGGTTTAATTTGGATCAAAAATTAATAATTGTACAATCATACAGTTAATCATACAATACATAAATATGTACAATACAATAAATTGTATGATTAATTGGATTATCATACATGCTGAAAAACAGCTGGTATGTGCTACTTTATGTAGGACCTTTTAAAGTCTTTGGTTGTATGAATGACCATCTTTATAGATCTAGTTTTTCTCAGAGAAGATATTTCTACTTATTCAGTTAAGTCATTTATTCCATGCTTTGAATAGGGCATAAAAGTAAGGTGATGCAAAATATGAATTACCAAGATTCTCTGAGATAATATGATAGTGGATCATTTCTTTTTCTCAGAAGGATAGAAAAAGGTGGTTGTGCTCAACAACAGCAGAAATGGCCTAAAAACCAGTGGTCTAACAGTTTGGGGACATAGGATTCTTTTTTTTCTTTCCTGTCTCCCTCTACCATCCGAATAAATATATGATGATGGAAAATTTCTTCGTTCATTTGTATAATGCAAATAGTGGTGTCTACAGATACTGTGTTAGTGAATCAATCGTAGATAATTTTGGTATGCTTAGATCGCTTTGTATTTAGATTGATAACTTAATCAATTGAACATATTTTTATAATACTGGACTTGAAAACCATATATATACTCGCGATAGTTTTCCTATAAAATAATAATTATAATGTCGTAAAATTCCACATTTGAACATTGATGAAGTTTAATTCAAGAATTACCTATTGCTGTTTATCTTTCTGATAGTCATAAAATTGCACATTAATATGAGACATGGATAATTGTCTGAAAAGAATCGACATTAAACTATTACATAGTTGTGGACAGTGTTGGGCTTCAGGTTTTAGTGACCACAATCTAGAGAACAGATTTCCTAATGTTACACCAAGAACTGTGGCTGGCATCTTCAAAAAAAAAAAAAAAAACCTTTTATCCCTGTTAGTTTTGGATCATGGACTTTGTAAAGAGAAGTCTGGTTCAAATGTTCATACTAAAGGAAGAAGTATAATATGAGAATTTAGTGTCCATCTAGATGTTCTGACTCTATCCTGAATTAAGGGTCATAGAAAGGGAGACTCAGCCCATTTTTGAGGCTAAAAGGAAAAAAAATATCTTTAGATGTAATTTTATTGTGAGAATTGTAAATATTCACTTTAGATATGTGTATTTGTGAGGATTCATTGTGGCATTAAAGGGGGATAAGATTTTGTAAACTAGGTTGAAATGCTCATATTGAAGTGTTAGTATGCTATTCGGTATCATTTTTATTTATTATGTTAATTTTCTCAATTATCTTTCTTTTTGCAGAAGATGTGTGAAGCATTCAAAGATCATAATTGCTGGAAAGTTTGTTGACTGCTATTCCCTGAAAGTCCTGAAACTTAAACATCAATCTGGCATGGCACAGGGAAGCCAGCAGTTAGATATGCAGGTACTCCATGACCTCCGGCAACGTTTTCCTGAGATTCCTGAAAGTGTGGTGTCTCAATGCATGCTCCAGGTAGGTGTTGGTTGCCCCAACAGTAGTTTCTCTTTGAAGTAGTAGATAAGGGTAACCAAACAAGATGCAAGAATAACTTTTCAGAAACACAAGCAGTATGGAAAAAACTGGGACGGTGGATTATAGGAGATGAGAATAAGAACAAATATAGTAAAAGTTGGTTATTTTACCCGATTTTCATTTATCTTATTATACTTTTAGGAAACAGTTTGCTTCCTTCCCCTTTCTTTTTTTCTTTTACAAATGAAATAATTCTATTAGGCTCCATTTAATTAAAAATAAAAGTATAACTAAATAGCATGGACATAGCTAGAAATTTATATCCTACTAAAATCAGTGGGGGATAAATTCATTCTTAAATTCTAAATCTTCAGGATTGGTAGAAGCACCTTGATATGTTCAGCTTTTGTTCTTGAAAGTACTTCCCATCCTATATTTTCTTTCTATACAATTTATTTTCTTCCATTCCACTATTAGTTTCATTTACATTTATGAAATGGAATATTGTACGCAGAATACAAAATTCCATGTGGGAAAAAAAGAATTATTCTGTAGAAAACTCAAGCCTTAAAGAGATAGGTATTTCGGTTTCTGCATACATCTCCCATATCTGTTTTACTACTTATCCCAAGCTGCAGTAGAAGGAGTAGTTAAACATTCTGGTTCATTCATTGAATAACACAAATTAAATATTCTCGTTTTGGGGAAGCCTTTTAGCTAACAAGATTTGGAGTGGTAACATCTGTTTTACAAATCTTTAGGGAGAATTAATGAGATATTTTGTGACTGCACATACTTCAAAGCTGTAAAAAAGTTTGTCTAGATCAGACGTGAAACTCAAGGCCCACGGTCCAGCTCCAGCTCACAGTGTGGTTAGATCTGGCCCATGGGGCTGCCCTGAAGATAGCGAGAGGCTGGCCCCCACTGCCTCAGCCCTGGTCCACCCCAGCCCAGTGGGGCACTCCACCTGGGCGTGTATACAGGAAGCAGCGAGTGCACAGGGGCTGGTGTTCCGTGAAAGGGAAGTGCTTGTGGACTGTGAGGCCCTGGAAGCAGTGGAAAGCTGGTAGTGGGTATGTCGCTGCTGCTGGGGCTATAGGTGCTGATTTACAACAACTTCATGGCAGCCATCCAGGCCAGAATATGGTCAGCCTGCGTTGGCTGCCACAAAGTTGTAAATCAGCTTCTAGAGCCCCAGAAGCAGCGACGCACATGCCACCAGTGCCTCCAGATCCTCTATGGCCCCAGAGTCCACAAGCACTTCCTATTCACTAGGACAGCCCCGCGCCCTACCCTGCCCCCTGCATGGCAAAGCCACTGGTAGCGGTGCCACCCTCTCTCCCTCCCTTCATCCCTTCCTGGATAGGGAGGGAGGAGATGGGAATGAAAAGGAGGGATGCAGGGAAGGAAGGAAGGAGATGGGAATGAGAAGAAGGAAGGAGGTGGAGGGAGGGTCTGAGGCAAGTCCTGCCTTAGCACTTGACCACCAGCAGCCCTGCTGCCCTCTTGCCATCCCCTTGCCGCCTCTTCCTGGCCTCTCCTGGCCTCTCCTGGTGATCTCCCATCCTATTGCTGAGGATGCTTTGCTTACAAAGCCAAGTCTCCTCCCATGGAGAGGGAGTGGGCCTCCCTTTGGCCTACGCTTTGCCCTCCTGCACCCACCATGAGCATCCTGGCCAAGGAGAGCAAGCACAGCAGCAGCCTCAAGGAGGAGATAAGCATGGCCGGGTGCCCCCTTGGGGAAGAGGGGTTGGGCTGGCCTGGCCTGAGAAGTCCTGGTGCCCCAGGAGCTCAAAGGCCAGGCAGAGTGCTTGCCCTCCACTGTCCAGAGCTCCGGGCAGCCCGCACCACAGTCCAGGGATCCTTCGTGTGGCCTGAGACGGACAGCAAGGCTCCTCTGGTGGGCAAAGCTTTGGGGCTCGCCCTTCTCTCACCTTCCTCCCCTGAAGACTCCTGGATCCCCCCTCCCACCTTTGCCTGCCCCCCCACAGGAGGCAGAGGACAACTCTGTTGCATGTGGAAGTGCAGAGGAGAAAGTTTTCAGGAAGCAGTTTCCTCCAAATCCAACTTCTGACATGACAAATCTGTGGAGAAGGGGAAAGGGTGGCGGGGGAGCTGCGTGAGGGAAGTCTGTCCCAACAAGCCAGCATCCTTACCACGCATGATTGGAAATGGGGATTCCCTTTTGAGAAGGGCCAGCTTCTCTTGTGCAGGACCGGGGAGCACTGCTCTCTTGCCTTCTCCTCTTGCTCTCCAGAGATCTGTCAAGTTGGACTCAGAGGAAACTGCTTCTTGCAAACTTTCTCTTCCACGCTTCCACACGCAGCAGTGTCGTTCTCTTCCTCCTGCTTTGCTGCGAGGGGGCACCGGACAGGGAAATGCTAATGATGTCTGGGATTGGGAGAAGAATGTCTCCTTTGGCATGCTGTGCACACACACACACACACACACACACACACACACACACACACAGCATTCCAAGCTAGGAGACTTATCCACATCTGAGCTTGCAAACTGCCAATCGTGCCCTCTCCTTCCTCTGTGGATACAAGTCCCCAAATTTAGAATATAGTGTGTGTTTGTGTGTATGTGTGTGTGTATGTGTGTGCACGTTCATGGCTGCCAGCAGTTTGAGAAGGTGAGGAGCTTATGGGGCACCGAATTGTCCCCATGTCGAGTTAGCCGGTGCAACTTGTTCCATCCTGACCTAGCTGTCCTGAATCAGCCACGTCCAGTGAGCGGTGTTGAGTCAGCCATGCCCATCCAGCCATGGCTACCTAGCTGTGACCACCCCAGCCATGCCCATCTGGCCGCTATAAGTGGTCATAGTTTTACAACTGGCCCTTTGAGGGCTACCATAATGCTGATATGATCCTCAATGAAATTGAGTTTGACACCCCTGATCTAGATGGTGATTGACAGATAATGCTTGTAATCTTTGTGGAAGGTTTCTTACATCTTGAAAGATTTGTTTATATATGACTCTTCATAAGCAAATTTAAGTTAGTCAAAATTATAACTTTAAGTTATAATCTAAAGTAACAACCTTAGCAAATAGAATACAGAAGAGTAAAACAGATTGTTGTACTATAGTTTCTAAAACTTGCTCCATAGAATGTTATTTCTTCTAGAATAACAACAATCTTGATGCTTGTTGTCGAATTCTTGCACAAGAGAGCAACAAATACCTATATATGGAGTATCACAGCCCAGATGACACCCGAGTGAACAGGAATCGTCTTCTGCATATTAACCTTGGCATCAATCCTCATACTAACTATGGAGGGGATGGACTTCAACTTAATGGTGGTCGTACACTGGTACATAGTTCAAGTGATGGACATATTGATCCGCAGTGCACCCCGGGCAAACAGCTGATCTGTTTAGTCCAAGAACCACATTCTGCTCCTGCTGTTGTAGCAGCTTCTCCAAACTACAATCCTTTTTTTATGAATGATCAGAATAGAAATGCAGCTACTACTCCTCCACTGACACCTCAGCAATCTTCTCCCATACAACCTGGAATGAATACATCTACTATGCAAGGTCCTCCTCCTCCATATATGCATATACCTCGGTACAGCACAAATCCTATAACTGTTACAGTTTCACAAAACCTGCCTTCTGGGCAGCCTTTACCCAGAGCTTTACAAATTCTTCCTCAAATTCAAAGTACTCCTTATGGAAGTCCTGGATCACTCTATATTAGGCAGACAACTCAAGGTTCTTCGGGACGACAGACTCCTACTCAAAGTACACAGTGGCATACGTCACCACCAGGTCCAGTTTCACATTATAGTCCACATCCATTACCTGTCTATCCACACCAACAGACCTATCAGTCTTCTCAGTATTCTCCCAAGCAGCCCCAGATTCCTCAGTCTCCTTTTCGATCACCACCTGCTTCCCAGTGTCCTTCTCCTTTTGGATCACCTCAACATCAGGTTCAACCCAGCCAATTAGGACATCAAAGTTCCCATGTATTTATGCCTCCTAGTCCTTCAACTGTGTTACCCCATCCATATCAACAAACACCACAGACATATCAAAAACCAAGTGGACACTCAGTATCTTATCTCCCATATGGTGGATCTACTTTATCTAAAGGCTCCATGAACAAGATAGAAATTACTGTTGAACCACCACAAAGACCGGGGACTACACTTAATAGGAGCCCTTCACCTATAAGTAATCAGCCATCCCAACGGAATCAGCACCCACTATATACACCTGCAACTCCTTCAAGTTCCCCTTCCAGAAGTATAGCAGGTCAGCCTAAACCTCCTTATAATGTTAATCCTGTATATATAACATATACACAACCAGTTGGACCTTCAGGTATCCTTACACAGTCCCCCCGTGTAATGGTATCTCAGCCAAATCCAGCAGTTTTTAAAATCACAGTAGGTCGAGCTCCTGCTGAGAATCTTCTAAATTTAGTGGACCAAGAAGAACATTCTGCAGCACCAGAACCTATTCAACCCATTTCAGTTGTACCAGGATCTGGAGGTGAAAGAGGAAGGCATAAGTACCAGAGAAGTTCCAGCTCTGGATCAGATGACTATGCTTATACACAAGGTAAGATTGATGAGTTTTTTGCTTAATAATTCTCAAAATGTTTCCTGAGTATCAGATCATGTGGACGGGGGTTCATCTTAAATAGCTGTCTCCCCAAATACAAATATCCCTCCAAATGTATAAGTTAATAAGGATAGGTTAACAAAATCATGTCTGTGATTTTTTCTCAAGTTGAAAGAAACACGCTTATTTCATTTACCACTTTGAATTCTGCAGCATAAAAATGGTGATGGGGTGGGCCTGCTGGATCAGTGTGATATGGTGATAAAAGTATGATAACCTAACCTAACTACCATTGCATAGCATAACAATAGCATAATATATAATATCGCAAAAATAGTTGTTAATATATTGTCCACCACATAATAGCACAGAAATGAACTGGAAACTGGACTGTCTTGGAATATGACTTAACTGAACAATACCGTAAAAAAATTCTGACTATATAAAACTAATATACCATTACATATTTCAGATAAAAGAAGCATAAAGGTGTAGAGTGTAGAGTACTTTTTTTTAAAAAAAATAACAATACAAATTTTTTGTTTTAATCTTGAATATAGCTTGAGTTTTATCAGTATAAATTGCAATGTTTATTGAAGTTTTTTCATATTTTGAGGGACTAGTCTAGGCCATTACCAAGAGTCAACACTGATCTGAAGGTACAAAAAGAAGTATGGCTATGTGTTTATGAGAAATAAAAATAAAAAACTTTTGAATAAAAAATCATGTGATTGTGATTGGCAATTTTCCTTTATGGTTTTCCACAAGCAAATTCAATAAGAAAGCCATCAAGAAATCTGAATTCACAGTCAGGGAAAGTCCTCACTTAATGATCCACAGTGATTTGTTTAACTGGTGACTTTTGGAACTGCTATCAGTAAGCAGCAGAGTCATGTGATGTCACACTTTACAACTGCATTGTTTAGTGATCAAAATTCAGGTCCTAATTAGCATTAAGTGAAGATTACCTTATCTTCATGAGTATGTAAAATAATGAACTTCCTTATGGAGGAATATTACATCTATAGCTCTTGTTCCTTTTTTTTATAAACGTTTTTTTATTTTATAGACAAACATACAATACATAATCGATCATTTAGTGTATCATCTGAGTACATTTTTTGTGTCTTCTTCCTACTCCTCCATCTTCATTTATTATAACATTTCTCCCACATTTCTTACTTTTCTATGAAGATTTATCTATCTTCATTCTCTTCTTTCTTCTTCACTCCTTTCATTACAACATTACCCTATATATATATATATATATATATATATATATATATATATATATATATATATATATATATATATATATATATATATATATTTGTTTTCTCAGGTTTTCGCGGGTGTTTGTATGTAGGTCTTTGGTTATTCGGGTCTTCTCCCACGTAAAATTGGAAGTGTCTTGGCGACGTTTCGACGAAGTCTCATTCGTCATCTTCAGGCTGGTGTTCTCGGCTTCGTGCTTCCAGGAGCAATGTGAGATTGCAGCTGTCTCTTCCTTTTAACTGCTAGTGGGGGTGTGAGCTGATTGGGTGGGAACTTGGCTGTGTTCTGATTGGGTGGAGGTGTGTTCTGATTGGTTAGGGGCTTGGCTGTGCTCTGATTGGATGGGGGGTTGGTTGTGAATTCACTTTGAACACACCTCCACCCAATCAGAACACAGCCAAGTTCCCACCCAATCAGCTCACACCCCCACTAGCAGTTAAAAGGAAGAGACAGCTGCAATCTCACATTGCTCCTGGAAGCACGAAGCCGAGAACACCAGCCTGAAGATGACGAATGAGACTTCGTCGAAACGTCGCCAAGACACTTCCAATTTTACGTGGGAGAAGACCCGAATAACCAAAGACCTACATATATATATATATATATATTTGTTTTCTGAGGTTTTCGCGGTGTGTTTGTATGTAGGTCTTTGGTTATTCGGGTTTTCTCCCACGTAAAAATTGGAGGTTTCTTGGCGACGTTTCGACGAAGTCTCATTCGTCATCTTCAGGCTGGTGTTCTTGGCTTCGTGCTTCCAGGAGCAATGTGAGATCGCAGCTGTCTCTTCCTTTTAACTGCTAATGGGGGTGTGAGCTGATTGGGTGGGAACTTGGCTGTGTTCTGATTGGGTGGAGGTGTGTTCTGATTGGTTAGGGGCTTGGCTGTGCTCTGATTGGCTGGGGGGTTGGTTGTGCTCTGATTGGCTGGGGGTGTGTTCTGTTTGGGTGGGGGCTTGGTTGTGCTCAGCTTAGTCTGAGTTGCAGGGGGATTTGAGCTGGTGAGCTGCGTTGTTGTTGTTTGGCTTCGTGTTTGTGGCCGTGCGAGCTCTTCATGGTGGGTGTCAGTCTGCTTCATGTATGGATTGGAGGGGTTTAAAGTGGCTAATGATGCAGCTGCGGTCTGGCTTCTGGTCCTTGGTCGTGGCTCATTATCAGTGTGGGTTTGAGTCTGCTTTCTGCGTGGATGTGTGGTGGTGACATCCTGTGTGGCTCTCGTGAGTGTGGGTCTGGTGGCATTCATCGTGTTAGGGACTCGTTTGTCAATAGGGCGGGTTTCCAAATGGCTGGTAGGGGGGGAGGTATCGTCTCGTTTGTTCATGCTGTGTGGGCGTTTTTCTATCTCGATGGCTTCTCTGATTATTCTGTTGTTAAAGTGTTCAGTTTTGGCGATAGTTCTGGTCTTTTTAAAGTCAATATCATGTCCTGTGGCTTTAAGGTGTTGGACCAGGGAAGAAGCAGACTCAAACCCACACTGATAATGAGCACGACCAAGGACCAGAAGCCAGACCGCAGTTGCATCATTAGCCACTTTAAACCCCTCCAATCCATACATGAAGCAGACTGATACCCACCATGAAGAGCTCGCACGGCCACAAACACGAAGCCAAACAACAACAACGCAGCTCACCAGCTCAAATCCCCCTGCAACTCAGACTAAGCTGAGTTAAAAGGAAGAGACAGCTGCGATCTCACATTGCTCCTGGAAGCACGAAGCCAAGAACACCAGCCTGAAGATGACGAATGAGACTTCGTCGAAACGTCGCCAAGAAACCTCCAATTTTACGTGGGAGAAAACCGAATAACCAAAGACCTACATATACATATACATATACATATACATATACATATACATATACATATACATATACATATATATACATATACATATACATATACATATACATATACATACATATACATATATATATATATATATATATATATATATATATATATATATATATCTTCTATAACCAATGATAAAATTGTCCCCATATCTTAAAATATTCCTCTCTTTAATGATCAAAGTCAATCTATTCATTTCTGCACAATCCAATATTTTCTTAATTATTTCTCCCTCCGTAGGGATTTTCTCTGCTTTCCATCTTTGCCCAAATACTATCCTCGCTGCACTTATAATATGTATAATCAAATATGTATTTTCTTTACTAAATTTCTCTGGTAAGATACCCAATAGGAACAGTTCAGGTTTTAAATCCATATGTTGTATCATTTCTTCTAACCATGTTTTAATTTTAATCCAATAATTTCTCGCTTCTGGACATGTCCACCACATATGATAATAAGATCCTGGTGTCTGATGGCATTTCCAACATTTAGCTGATTTATCTTTAAACATTTTTGCTAATTTTTCAGATGGCATGTGCCATCTATAAAACATTTTGTATTGATTCTCCTTATATGCTGTGGACATTGTTAATTTATAATTCCTATAATTTCTTTCCCATAGGTGCTGCCATTTGTCTAACTCAATTGAATATCCAAATATTTTTGCCCAGGCTATCATTGTTTCTTTTACCTGTTCTTCTAGGTTAATACTCAATAAGTAATTATATAGTTACTTGTTCCTGTGAGTATCTTATCCAGTTCTGTCATTTCTAAATAAAAACCACATAATTTAGCATCTTTTTCATATCTTGTTTGTATTTGCATATGTGTATAGCAATCCATCTCAATCCCTTGTTCTTCTATTTCTTGTTTCCCTTTCAATTCCCCCTTATCTGTTAATATATCCTTGTAACTAAGAATATTTTTAATATTAATAATATTTGGGTGTATTAACGCTTCTATTTTTGATAACCATGTTGGTATTTTCAAATAATATTTATCTCTAATTCTCTCCCACACTAATAATAATGCATTTCTTACATAGTGTCTTTGAAAATAACTGTGCATCTTATTTTTGCCATACCATAAAAAAGCATGCCATCCCAATTGTAAATCATGTCCTTCCAAAATTAATAGTCTTGAATTTCTTAATTCAATCCATTCTCTCATTGACGTGGATGAAAGAATGGATTGGACTAAGAAATATAAGACTATAAACTTTGGAAGGACATGGTTTACAATTGGGATGGCACGCCTTTTTATGGTATGGCAGAAGCAAGATGCATACTTATTTTCAAAGACACTATGTAAGCTCTTGTTTCTTTGTCATGAAGTATTTGTACCTCAGCATTTGATTGCATGTTTATGTTTGCTTCTGTTTTTGAAAAGGTCATTTGTTTGTACTTCTGTAGATAGAAGTTGGATTTCTTAATTTTATGCATATTTTTCTCTGTAATGCACTAGCTTTGCTGTTACATCAACGTGCAAGGATGGAGAGGTTAGCAAAGGAGCTGAACTTTGAGAACGAGGAACTTGAGAAACTTAAAGGTGACGTAAATAATATGGAACATGATCTTATGCAAAGGCGTCTAAGAAGAGTGAGCTGTACAACCTCAATCCCAACTGTAAGCAATTTTTCTATAATTATATTAAAATAAAATTGTTCTTTCCTCTATTGACAGTATGAATAATTCACTGTATTTTAAATTCATCATTTTTCATCCAATATGTAAGTCTCAGTTGAGTTGTTTCAGCAGCTAGTTACAACATGTTCTCCTAGTTGCCTCATATGCTTTATCACCTCTTCCAAATTCTGCAATACATCTCAAGTGTTTGTTGTTGGTTTGGAGTTGTTCTGAAAAGGCATGTCAGCAGTATGTTGTTGCTTCAGATAAAAGTAGGAAACCCTAGTTACAAACAATATTCTAAAATTTAAGGCATCATATCTGTTGTGATCTTTGACAAGGCATTGATTGAGAATTGGCAGAGGTGGAGTGTTTTCTGGGTCTTATCTTTCAATAATTATATGCTTGCATGTGCTAGTATCTTAATTCTGTAATTCTTTTTATATTTCTTAAATTCCTTCTCCTAAAATATGTTGAGTTGAAGTTCTGATAGAAGATGATTATTTGCCTCAAAAGGGAACGTGGTGGCATAGAGGCTTAATGACGCTAGATGTGCTGAACAATTGCCAGCACTCCGGCAGTTCGAGTCCAGCTCCGCAGGACATGGTGAGCTCCTGTCTTTTATCCCCAGTTCCTGCCCACCTAGTAGCTCAAAAGCATTGTTTGTGAATAGAGAGTTAGGTTCTGCCATTTTGGTGGTGGGAAACTGCTGGCTGCGTTCTGTGACCAAATTGTTGTGATAATAACTATATATCATAAGGAACTATATACATAGAAGTTTTATTAGATTTAAAATATAATATCTTTACATCATTATTGATATTGAGATTTTGCCATGGTGTCTCTAATGTAGGGATGTCAAACTGAATTTCTTCGAGGGCTGCATCAGCATTGTAGTTCTCCGCAGGCTGACCCAGGGGGGAGAGGGAGAGGATGGGATGGACACCTCCTCCAGCACCCTGTCGGCCAAAATGGGGCATGAGTGGCCTGCACGCGGCCTCCTTGTGCCCCGTTCTCAGCCTGGACTGCCTCCTATATCACTTTAAGTTCAAACCTTTATTGTCAGAGTACAACATGTGTCCTATGAGATTGGCTGAGCCTCCCTTTGTGCACCCCCTCAACACAATACATCTCACAGTGAAAGACCCCCCCCCCCCCCAAAAAATCCCTATCCCAGTGAATCCTGCTAACAATCTCCCAATCCTATTGCACCATGTGAACTTATTGCACGTCGCGCCGGCCCCACAAGTCAATCATACTATGTTGTTGTTATTTTTCATTCAGGAGTCTGACAGCCCACAGATAAAAACTGTTCTTCGGTCTGTTTGTGCAGCTGCCTATGCTTCTATATCTCCTTCCCGATGGAAGGAGGATAAAGAAGTGCTGACCAGGGTATGAGTCATCTCTGAGGATTTTCCTCACTCTTCTAAGGCAGCGAGCCTTAGCGATGTCGTCTAGTGGTATCAGGGGATAGCCCATGATGTTTTGTTCTGTGCTCACCACTCTAATGTTTTTCTATCCGCGGTTATCAAACCAGCATACCACACTAATGCACTGAGTGAGGACGCTTTCTATTGTGGACTGGTAAAAGGTGGTAATCATTTGTTATTCCCCTTTGTTTTTTCGCAAGACTCTAAGGAAGTGGAGTCTCTGTTGGACCTTTCTGGCCACCTGGGTCGTGTTGATCTTTCAGGTGAGGTCTTCACTGAGATAGACTTCCAGGAATTTAAAGGAGGAAACTCTCTCCACACAGCCCCCCTTGATGTAAAGTGGGGCAGGTTCCTCCCTCTTCTTCCAGAAGTCTAACACCTTCTCCTTTGTCATGCTGATATTCAGGTGCAGGTTGTTTTCTAAGCATGATGTGGATGGTTTTTGAACCTCCCTGCTGTACGCTGCTTTGTCTCCACCTGTAATAAGACCCAGTACAGTAGTATCATCTGTGAACTTAATAATCACAGTTGATGGGTCAGACGATACATAATCATGTGTGTACAGTGAGTACAGGTAGGGACTGAGCACACAGCTTTGTGGGAAGCCAGTGCTAAGCTTCAGGGAGGTGGAATGACAGACCCAACCCTCACTGTTTGTGGCTGGTCCCTCAGAAAGTATTTTTTTAACTTCCGGTTTGGCGTTACTGCGAGACAGTCGGGGGATTAGCGGGCTCTGATGAGCGCCACGAAAACCCCGGCTGCCGAACTGCTGCCGGTGGGTCTTCGGACCGGAACTGTCCTGTAGGGGCGGGGAAGAAAGAGAGGTGCCTCGGATGACCGAGAGGAACAGGCAAATTCCTTGGAAGTCAGAGGGAACTCTCTGTGAGTCGGCAGTGGGGGGCGGCAGCCATGAAGCTGGGACAACCGGACTAAGTGTAGAGCTGGAGAGAAGAAAGAAACGGAACGGAGTCTTTTTGAAGCTGGGTGAGTGACAGCCAACTAAAGCTTGAATAACAACAAGAGAAACATCTTACAATTATAAGACCTCTAATGTGTAATAGCTGCTAAGGAGCATGGGGGCAAAGAAGATTTTGAAAAATAACTTTGAAGAGATAAAAACCCAATTGAAAATTGATTTTTGAACAAACTATTTGGAAACTTTAAACAATTAGATATGGTCAAAGGATTGGAAAGAAATAAAGAGATCCCTTTTTTCCCTTTTCTTTTTTAAATTGCAAGAAATACAAAAAGAATGGATAATATGCTTTAAAAAGAGAGAAAAAAAGTGATGTATAAATAAAAGGGGAAAAAAGGAAATAAGTGAGAAGAGCTACTTAAATTTGGACTGGACTTTAAATATGATCTGATATTTTTAAACTGAAAAAGAAAAAGAGAAGCTAAGTAAGATTGTGATGTAATTGCAACAAAATGGATACTTGTTAAGCAATTGGAAATTGTGGATTGCAGAGAGACACCATCTGGAGTAAAAAGGAACATTGCAACTTTGTTTTGGAAAATTGTGAACTTTACAAATAACTCTGAGAACTATGAGAATTCGTGGAGGAGGATTCTCCTGTCTACAAGAGGTTTGACTTTTGGAGGAAAAAAAAGAAATAGAAGGGAACACAACGGAACTTGTATAATTGGAATAATTATTTGACTTGGAGAATGGAAATAAGAGATATAACTATAATGCTGCATAAAGGATATAAAAATTGAAATGGAGTATACACGAGCGGATAAGAAAATGAAGATGGAGAAATAAGACATAGAAGTGGAAAATAAAGAAGACAAAGGCATTGTGAATAAATATGAATTAATAATTCAACATGTGAACAGTAATAATAAAAAGGAGGTCTCTAGAGATTATATTAAAAAAATAAAAGGTTGGAAAATATTAAGGAAATTAAAAAAGTCCAGGACTTGAATTTATAAAATGACTATACTGAGATTAATAAATATGAGAAGAAATATGTTACAGACATTTAGAAATGGAATAGGGATTGAAGATAAAATAGAGGTAAATTAGACTATATTAAAAGAAAATATAGCAATGGACATAATGAACCAATTTTTTATTAAGATGTTAGAAGGTACTACTTGAGAAAATTGATGGTTATAATAATTGGGATAGTGTTTAAATACATAGAACAATTGTTATAATTTGAATACTTTTAATAATATATTTATAAAAGTTAAAGATGATTATGCTGGGATTAATCGTAAGAAAAATAAATGTAATTACACTGGGATTAACAGTGGAACAAGACGATTACACTGGGATTAACAGTGAGAAAAATAAAGATGATTACACAGGGATTAGTGGAACAAAGATGATTACACTGGGATTAACAGAGAAAAATAAAGATGATTATACTTTTTTTTTTTTTTTTGCTTTAATTTATATGCCGCCCTTCTCCGGAGACTCAGGGTGGCTTACAATGCGTTAAGCAATAGCCTTCATACTTTTGTATATTTATACAAAGTCAGTTTATTGCCCCCACAATCTGGGTCCTCATTTCACCTACCTTTGAAAGGATGAAAGGCTAAGTCAACCTTGAGCCTGATGAGATTTGAACTTGCAGTAATTGCAAGCAGCAGGTGTTAATAACACTGGGATTAACAGTGGAACAAAGATGATTACACTGGGATTAGCAGTGAGAAAAATAAAGATGATCACACTGGGATTAACAGTGGAATAAAGATGAGTATATTGGGATTAACAGTGAAAGGATAAAAGAAAAGGTTAAATTAGAAAATTGACAGCTACAATAATTGGGATATTGCTTAAATATGTATAACCATTGTAATAATTTGAACATCTTTTACTTAAGTAAAAAAAAAATTGAAACAATATATGATTATGATTTATAAACAAAAATTACTTAATTGGTGTTATATAAATGGTATGGTTTAATAGATAGAATTTGGGATAATTGGGAAATTGCATTAAATAGCATTATTTGAATTAAGAACTATGTTTAAATGTTAAATTGCTATATTTTTAGATTAAAGATAAGATTTAAATTTGATAAAGTAATAATGGAATAAGGATTTAATGAGCATCATGAAATATAAATATGTTTGAACTGTACTGAAATGTATTATGAGTTATTAATTGAATTAAGATCCAAGGTGGGTTAATAGAAGGGTAATTGTTTTGATTAAGTAAATATGTGTTAATTTTTTTTAAGATGGTATTAGTTGAATATGTGATTTAAGATTAAGAAATAAGTGTTATGGCAAAATAGAATAGATAAAATTTTGTTAACGATGACAAAAAATTGAATAAATTGATGACCGGATCAAAGCTCTGTTCTGAAAAGATGTAATTTGTATGTTTGGGGAAAAAAATAAAAAAACTTTTTGCAAAAAAAAAAAAAAGGAAGTCTTTTTTTAAAAAAAGTTTTTTATTTTTTTTAAACAAACACAAACAATACATCCTTAATCATTCAGTGTTTCATCTAAGTACATATTTTGTGTCTTCTACTCCCTCCTCCATCATTTTCATATTATATTTCTATCATACCTTTATATTTTCATTTAGATTGTTACATCATTCTTTCCAGATTTCTTATATTTATATTAATTCATCAATTATCTAGATTTTATATATATATATCTTCTCTAACCATTGATATAATTGCCCCATTCTTTAAAATACTCCGATTCTTCCTTTTCTTTAATTACCAATGTTAATCTATTCATTTCTGCACATTCCAATATTTTCTTAATTACTTCTCCCTCTAAAGGGATTTTCTCTGCTTTCCAGTTTTGCACAAATACAATTCTTGCTGCAGTTACAATATGTATAATCAAATAAGTATTCTCTTTACTATATTTCTCTGGTAAGATACCCAATAGGAATAGTTCAGGTTTTAAATCAATACTTTGTTGTATCATTTCCTCTAGCTATGTTCAAATTTTAATCCAATAGTTCCTCGCTTCTAGACACGTCCACCACATATGATAATCCAATCCTGGTATCTGATGGCATTTTCAGCATTTAGCTGATTTATCTTTAAACATTTTTGCCAATTTTTCAGGTGGCATATGCCATCTATAAAACATTTTGTATTGATTTTCTTTATATGTTGTGGACATGATTAATTTATAATTTCTTTCCCATATTTGCTGCCATTTGTCTAACTCAATTGTATATCCAAAATTCTTAGC